ATGAATTTACGTTAAACACAAATTAAATCAAACACCCGCACGAGGGTGCGGATCAAGTTCTAGTTGTACCAATTGTATTAGTTGTACACTTAAACTAGTTGTACAATTTTGTTAGTTATATCAGTTATACTATTTGTACAGTTGACATCCACTCGGTGAAGAACAGTGCAAAGAAATCTGAACAGAACTTTACCGAAGCTAACGTGTCATGATCTACAGGTTCATCCCTTGATTTTTCAAGGCCACACACAACAATCCTGCGGCCAAAAAACCTCGGGTTCAAAAGAGAAGATTCGGCTCCGAAACCCTAGCCACCTATGGATAGTGTCTGTGAACCTCATCAACCATAACTATTATTCATTGTGTGGTTAAACTTGTAATAAGTTGTGATTAGTTTATTTCCTATAATATTATATTTAACATTTCTTTAAAATATAATATTATGTATACCATTGAAATATTTTGTATTAGTTATACTAGTCATAAAATTTAATATGCAATTATTTGTTTTAATAGTTATTAGTTATATTAGTTGTACTAGTTGTACATTTTTTTTAAATGCATCTTCATTTTTTGCTCTTTAAACCGATAAAAAGCCATCACGAAAGTGAAGAGAATGCACAAACATTCATGGTTGGATTTTGACTTTGTTTGAACCACTTAGTCTTCGTTCTTTTTTGTTTCAGAGTTGCTGTATAAATATATGAAAATTTATTCTAACCACATGCTAATTTGGCAATTTAATTATTTGTTTTTCATTTAGAATACACAATGTGATTATAAAATTCCTAAAATGACAAATTTGTACAAGATGTACTAGTTCAATATACTAACATGTATAGTTCAACCATATAATATATTAAAAGAGTACACTATGAAAATAATCTTATAATCATGTGAAATATTAAAACTTTTACCACTGAAAATTACTTTAATCTTAGGATTTTCATTATTTGTATTTTAGTCTCTTTAACATCCTTAATTAATCATCTAATTTAACCCAATAATAACATATTTAAAACATAACTCTCTCTCTCTCTCTCTCTCTCTCTCTCTCTCACTGAAACACGAAATTCCAAATAGCAACAAACACTTACATTACTTCCATAGCTTTGACAAAACCCCACACATTAATTCATCATATCTTAACTTAAGTTTATTAGAGAAAGAAAAAAGAAGTGTTAACCATTTTACATTCGAAAACTATATTAAATTATGTTGGACCATTGGGTATTTAACTTTGAAAATACTATCTTAATTTAAATTTTATTAATTTAATAGATCTATTATAGTTTGATTAGTATTCTATATATTTAAATTTGTTTTGAAAATTTATGTATCATTTTATTACATTATAACCAAGTTAGTTTATATTTTTTTACAATAAATTAATTTTAAAAACTATATAAAACAATTGAAGTATTAATTAAATTTATTTAATTTACATAATATAAATAAACAATGCATAACTATTGAGGTTAGAGTATTAAAATAATTTTAAAATAATAGAACAAAATTTTCTTAAAAAAATCTTTCACATTTTAAAGATACTTACTATTTAACTATTTTAGTCTAATAAGTTTAAGTAGTAGATATTAAAAATAAATTAATACTGCGTATAGAGCAGAAACCTTATACAGTAAATATGTTGAAAAAGACACAAAAACAAAATTGTTATGATGTTTGACAATATGTTGAACCTAAAATTCTAAATAATATATTTAATAGTTTTAAAATAAAATTTAAATATACATAATTGTAAAAAAAAAATACACATGGGGATAACACAATATTTACCTTTGTAAAATCTAACATATTCTTTTATTAAATTATCCCTTCTAATTTGATTGGTATAATATGTATTAATTCTTTTTTTTGAAATTGTATATATCATTTAAATAAAAACAAGTAACTTAATATTTTGTATATATAATTTTGTATTTAATAAAATATATAAATAAGTAAAACTTATTTAATTTAGATAATATAAAGAATTATGCATAAATAATAAATTTAAAGTATTACAAAAACTAATCAAAATATCTAGAAAAAAATATCTATATATTAATAATGTTGAATAAAAACCTAAGAAATAAGATTATAGAATTATACAGTATATAACACTACAATGTCAATCATATTTTAAAAGATTTATGATAATATCAAAGTTTATATTTGTAAAATTGAAAGATATCCGCAGTAGTCCTGCTCGGTAAAAGAGTTCGAGCTCGTGTGGATCAAAATCTAGTAATGTTTAAAACATGATACACGTTTAAAATGTGATGTACAATACAAAATGAAACAACATATGTATTAGTATTTTAGTTGTATCGGTTTGTGCATAGTTGTACTAATTTTGAGTTGTATGAGCTTGTACATAGTTGTATTTTGGAAGTGAAACCGAAAGAACTAGTTGTACCACATAAAATTTAAACTTACCTTAGTTGTACCAGTTCTTTATGTGTACATGTCTTTGCCCTGATAAAATGAAATCATTAATTTTTTAAAAGTATATTTCATGTATGTTTTCCAACATATTATGTGCACAAAGAAGTTAACAACTGTGGGAACCGAAATCCACACTGTCAATTTTCCGTCAAATATGGAAACTTAGGATGAAACCCTAATTTTCCCGAGGTCCTGGATCTCTGCGAAAATCACTAAAACAAACGAATTTAAAAGAATATGGATGAACAATGAAGAACAGAGATTAAGAACTTGTGTGAAAGCTTTTATTGAATTAGAATCGACAACTGTTACAAGAAGAATTGAAGAACTTAGACGTCGAAACGTTATAAGGATCTGAATTGCTAGTCTAAACGCTAAGTCCTAAACTCCTAAGCTAACAGCTGTCTTTTTAGGTCTAATTTTCGTCCCCCTCTTCTGCCCTACGCCTCTGGTTTATATACTCCTTGCCTTGACGGTTCGATCTTTCCATTTTGCCGGATTTGAGTATTTCGGGAATCTTCCATTTTTCTCGATCCTTCCTTTTCTTCCGCGGAAATCTTCTATTTGTCTTCAAACTTGCCTTTATTTTCCTTATGCAAATAAACCGTCAAAACGTTATCAAATCTGCGGGTTAGATTCCATTGAAATCGCGAGATGGGTTTTTATCACGTTTTAGGTCCTTCCAGGCCGTTTTGCAATAAAAACCGTTTTCCGACTTTTTACGGGATCGTTACCTGATCTGACGTCGTTTTTAATAAATTACTCGAGTTAATCGCAAGGTTTTACGATTTACTTGACTTTTTATTAAAAAACACGTTTTTTACGACTTACTCGGCGTTTTTTATTAAAAAGCGCGTTTTTATGATTTTAACGAGAAATCTCGAATAAATCGTATAGTTTAGGCAACGTTCGGTGTTTCGTTTAACCGTTGCCGTTTTATATGATTTCCTCGAGTTCTTTCCGAGAAAGCGAAGTTTTACGGTTTTTATCGTAAAACTCGAACGGTAAGTCGGATCGAGATGGAACGGGAGACGTTTTAACCGTAGTTTAGAGTGCGATCGTGTCGAAAGACGTAAGTTTTGAATCGGGAATGCGGGAGATCGAGGCGCGGGATATCCGAGAAGTCTTTAGTTCGCCCATCGGCGAACTAAGCCGGGCCGGCTTAGTTCGCCGATGGGTGAACTAGTGGAGTGTCCTTAGTTCGCCCATCGGCGATCTAAGCCGGGTCGGCTTAGTTCGCCCATGGGCGAACTAGTCGTGACTAGTTCTCGTTTTTCGGCAGTTTCGGTTTTTTGCGGTTTCGTAAAACGATTCTCGAGTTTTATAAAACGATTCTCGAGTTTTATAAAACGATTCTCGAGTTTTATAAAACGATTCTCGAGTTTTATAAAACGATTCTCGAGTTTTATAAAACGGTTCTCGAGTTTTATAAAACGGTTCTCGAGTTTTATAAAACGGTTCTCGAGTCTTATAAAACGATTCTCGAGTTTTATAAAACGATTCTCGAGTTTTATAAAACGATTCTCGAGTTTTATAAAACGATTCTCGAGTTTTATAAAACGATTCTCGAGTTTTATAAAACGATTCTCGAGTTTTATAAACGATTCTCGAGTTTTATAAAATCACTTTTGCGGAAAGTAATGATCTCCCTTTTACAGAAGCTATCGCAGACGTTGATTTTGAGAGTACGGTTTTTGACACCAACAACAACCCTTAAAAGTATAAGGTAGACCATGCAAACATGTGTGTTGGTGGAATAATTGTCACTTTTTTTTTTTTTTGAAAATCTTCAAAACATTAGAGGAAATCTCTTTGACCACTTATCAATTTAGATATTTGATTGTCATTTAATATGAAATATCCATTTGATTTTGTCAAATTATAAAATGGAAAAGTTATACCAATTATACTAGTAACACTACAAGAAAACATGGGATTAACGACTGCAATTTTGGAAGTTATTTGGTCTTAAAGTACACATTATGACTGCATAACTACCAAACACAAATGGTCATTAGTAGGCAGTCGTAATTAAAAATGATCGTAACATAGACGTAATCTGTAAGACCAAAGATTTTGGTCGTAAAACAGTTGTAAAGGGCGTAGTCGTAACTTAGAGGTTGATGTGACGTAAAGTTACGTCCAAATATGTGTATGTGTATTGGTCGTAATCAGTGGTCGTAATATCAAAGCACTATTAAGATCTAAACGGGAAGTTAATGAGACGTAAATATTACGACCAAGTTATATCTTCTTAGTTGTATTGTGGCCGTAAAATTTACTACGAGTTTACCTTCATTAAATTTGTAGTCGTAATGTCGCGGTAACAGTTACGACCATTTTAATTCAAATTTTGTTTTATTTTTACGACCACTTTACGTCTAGGTAATATAAATATAAATTTATAAAATTAAAAAATTTAAATTAATAATTTTAAACTAAAAACTTAATATTTTGAATTAAAATATTTATAAAATCCTACTATTTCGAAAATATTAAAAAAACATTAACTTAATAAATCCAAAACATAATATATTAAAATTACAAAAAAACTAATTATTAAGATTAATGTTTTCGAAAAATTGGGAGGTATGCTCCTCGGCTGCTTGCTCCGCAGTCGCCTGCTCTTCTGGAGTTGGATCGGGGTTGATTGTCGAACGTCTAGATCGCCACATCTGTGCAAGGGTTGGGTTTGTTTCTGCAATAACATCAAACATCTCAGCCATTGCCCTAATGTGGCTCATGTTGGCCTGGTTGTCCGTCTGGAGGGTCGAAATGACTTGGTTGGCATTCGTCAATTCGGCCCGGAGCTGAGACTCTTCTTGCAGTCTTGCAGCATGTTCAGCTCTAGCCCTTGGGACATCGTTCACCGTACCAATCCCGATCATCTGTCCCCTCTTCTTCGGGATAACCTTCATTCAATAAAAAAAATTAACCTTCATTCACCAGGTTACCTCAGAGATAAACATCAGAATGGACAACATGTTCACTGAGATGAATACAAAATATGATACTGTGAGCAACCACATAAAGAAGATTGATGTTCAGCTAGCTCAAACAGCTGAGAGTGTCAAGAGGCAACAAGGGACACTCCCTGGAAAAACTGATAAAAATCCTAGGACTGAGCACTGTAATGCAATAGAGCAGCCGTTTGCAGAGATTATTCTGGGCGCAGAAGAGAAGACAAAGCAGTCTGCTAGCTCCATAATGACTGCAACTGACGAACCTGCTGAGACTCCACCACTTTGAGCCTATGTTGATAAGGTTCCATATCCTATTCCACCTAGACATCTGAGGGATCCCATTACTGCAGAGGGGCTGGAAGGCTTTAATAAGATGGTGAGAAAGCTTCCTAAAGAACTCTCATTCGAAGATGCTAGGCAGATTCGGCCATTGCATTCGTTCTTCACATATACTAGAGAGACTCAAGAGGAAATTAAAGCCCTTTATACCAAGGCAATGACCACGCCATCACTAAAGGTTTTTCCTAAGGTTGCTGACCCTGGTAAGTTTGTTTTTTCATGTTCCATGACTGGAATGGAATTTAAGGAAGCTCTTTGTGATTATGGGTCTAGTGTGAATCTTGTCTCAAAGGCAACTAGATTTTGACCCGCGTTTTAAAAGCGCGGGTATATTTTTACTTATTAATATTTTAAAAAGTTCTATTATAATGTTTGATTTTCACGTAATGTTTCCATATCCGACCCAGATCCATAGTTGAACCGGTACATACATAAATTTTTATATAATCCAGTTAAGATTTAGTTAAAATTTACTAATTAAAAATTTAAACCAACCCGATAAAACCCGCTATCAATCTGTATTATGATATCCGTTGATCCGTTAAATAACAACATAAAAACTGATAATATATTTTTAAAAATTTGTTAAATAATTCATATTTTTAATATTAAAGAAAATTGTTTAGATGTTCAAAAAAAAAAGAAAATTGTTTTTTTTTGTAATTTCTTTAATAAAAACTTTCTTGTCATTTGAAAAAAAATGAAACAATGGCAATAGAAAAAAAAACACAATTTATTCATATAACAATATTAGTTTCTTTTCGTTATTAATAACCTATGATAAGTTTACATTTTTACTCATTTTATATCTAAAATTTCGTTTTTAAAACAAATTGAATTGACATATCATTATTATGGATAAAATGAAACAGTAAATAATAATTTATAATTTTTGATCGTTAAATAATATGATGCACGGAAATGTGATATTAAAATTAAATAGAAAATCATAATTTTCATAAAATTAAAATTATTATTAATCACAAAATAGGAAATATTATCAGTTACCATAAATATAGGAGATATTAAATCGTTTAATTAATTAAGATTCTAAAAATAAATAGTGGTATTATCTTACAAATGTGATAAAAATTTAGGGGTAGAATCCAAAATTTTAACAATAGGATCATGCTTTAATAGTATAGATTGTAGATGATTTGGGCATTGTGGATGTTGAGCCTTCTCAGGTGAATCTGGCTTTTACAAACTCCTCCAAAGCAGTACCTTAAGGCACCATTCGCAACCTTCCTGTCCAAGTTGGGGATTGTATTTTGCATACTGAATTTGAAATTGTTGAGATGAGTAAAGATCATGAGATGCCTTTGATTTTTGGAAGGTCATTTATGGCTACAGTGGGAGCAATTGTCGACCTGCCTAATAAGAGAGTCTCCTTCTCCAACATCAACAAGAAGACTTTCTACAAGGCTGTCCCAACCAGGTCACAAATCCGATACGCCTCTTGCATCTCAGTGGTCAGTAGAGAGCAACCAGAATTTTTATCTAAGAAAGAGCTTGGTGAAAAGAGTGAGATTAAGGAAGTCCTGGATGGAGATCCTCACACTGATACCAATGAACTCCGTGGGAATGCAACGGTGAAAGAAAAAATCCAGAAGAAAAATGTCAAGGGTGGTCCTACGATGACTTTGATACCTCGCAAGTGTGATGAGAACTTCATTGAATATGAGGTAAAGTGCAAAGGAACCTCCAAACCATTCTCTAAAGTCAGAGCTATTCTCACACATGAGCTGAAGGAGAAAGAAGAAGCTGCTGTAAAAGGGTTGTTGAGCAGAGTATTGAAGCTGAGCATGTCTGATTGTGGAGCTTGTTTTGGAGCAAGCACTCATGCTCAACCCGACTGATCCCTGTCACCAAGTCAAGCTAGTGACTTAAACCAAGCGCTTGGTGGGAGGCAACCCACTGGTAAGTGTAAAAATCATTAGTATTTTCTTTTTGCTTATTTTTAGTTTTAGTTTGTTGAGTCCCAGGTCAAAAATCAGAAAAACCCGAGATACTTCAGAAAAAAAATTATGGGTTGCAGAACCGGAGCAGCTATCCCTCCGAAAGAAGCGGCAGCTCCGGGCGGAGATCAGATGATGGAGAACCCAAAATTTTCGTGGAATGCCTGTTTCATGCAGGTAAGTATCTCGACCAAAAATATTTATATTTATGTTTTTATTTACACCTTCTCTCTGATTTATCTTCACACCGAGACGTTGTGAAGTAAGTCTGGGGGAGGGTCTTTGTCGTTTACTAACTCGTTTATTTCTTTTGGTTTTTATGTTTGAGTTAGTCTTGAGTCATTTTGATGTTTTAATTGAGTCAGTCAAAATTTTGTGGGAATTAGGACTTTATTTGTGATGTTTATTAACCACCCTCGTGCTTTAGCTATCTTATTCAGTGACCTTAGCAGTGGCATCAGACGCACATGTGGATTCAGAACACCCTAACATTACATCATCTTGTTCTCTAGAAGCTTTGAGCTTGTAGAGGTTACTCTGGAAAGACTTAACTTCATTTAACTTGAACCTAATCTTGACTGTAATTCTTCTTGTCATGGGCGTTAGATTAGGGTTTAACATGATTAACACTCAGGACTTCTTATTCTTTCTATTCATCTTGCTGATCTTGAGTGGCTAGCTCATTTTTAGATAGTACCCACCTTGAAACCCTAAGCCTTTATTCCGCCCTCATGCATTTGCTTTTTAGTATTTTATGTGCAGATATGTGCAAAAGGGCCGGAGATGAAAGGATCGACACAGTCTCTTACTCGTTACTGCAGCAGGAAAGTGTTTTAATAGGAGAACATGCAGAACTAAGGGAGCAACTGTTTCGACCTAAGAGAGCAAGATGAAGAGAAACTAGAATCAGTGTGAAATCAGGACCACCAGTGGCACGTCGAAACCATGATATGTTACCTCATTCTTCGTCACCATCACCATCAGTATTCTTATTTCATATCTTCAAAAAAAAATACTAAAAAAAAAGAAGATATCATCAGAATAAGGTGATGGAGGAGGGGAAGATCACAAAGAAACAAGAACCACTGGGAAAGTCGAATAAAAGAGAGTGTGCAAAAAGGTGAAGAGATAAAGACCATGCAGATGATCGACTGTTCCACAAGAAGAACAGACGTTTGATCGGATCAACTGTGCAAGAGGAAGAACACGCAAAAACGAGTAGGGGCTGTGGACATCAATGGATCTATCCTCTCTTGCAATTTTGTGTGATATCATGCATCCTCTACGAAAATGGTAACCCCTAAACACTGATTAGCTCCACTTAAACACAAAAAGGCCTGTTTCATACCTAGACCGTTTACCCTGAATAATGCCTATGATGAGAAGCTCACGCCACTCTTAATTGAATGTAAGAAGTTTTGTCTGGAAGGTTTAACTTTTGCAGGTATAAGATATAGAGTATGGAGCCGATTTGAACAACAGTCAGTGGGGTTTTGGTAAGGGTGTGTTGTCCTAGTTTTTTTTGCTTGTATGGTTCAGAGATTCGTGGTTAAAGTATGGTTGATGACAATAGGAGAGTTCCCACACTTTCAAACATTTCTCCCTGTTCTTGATACTTGACATTGTTTGAGGACAAACAAGGATCTAAGTCTGGGGGAATTGATATATGGTGTTTTTAGCATATTCTAACAATGTCTTCTAAAGTGTTTTTGAGTCTTTATTGAGTCTTTTTAGTCCTTTTTAAGTCATTACAGGTTGGAGAGTTCTATAGGTGAGAAGAATGATCGTGTGGAACGAAAGGAGAGGAAAAGAACCTGACTTGAAGGTTTTCTCAGCTGAACAGCCGGGCAGGATGTTCTCGCGTAAGCAGAGCAGCTTGACAGACTGTTCCCTGACGTTCCAGGAAATAAAGATTCTATTTCGGGATTTGTCATAGTTTTCCCTATATTTCTCTTCTGCCGCCTGTGGCTTTTATATATAGTCCCCTTTGGTTTTCTTAGGCTTTTACCTTAGTTTTTACGCAAGAAAGACTAGAGAGCTTTGATTTGAGCGATTGCTACTTGTAAGGGAGAAGGCTTCATCTATCTCCTTGAGAAGATCAACCTGAACCCTCTGATTTCTTATCTATATTACATGCAGTGTTATTCAGAAATCATGCTCTGTTCTTGTGTCATGTCTGAGTAGTCACCGAGTTAGTTTAGGATTCTAGGGTTGGTTTTGTGAGATGAGCTTAGATAAGTTAACCTAGGATTGTCTATGTTCATATTCTTGTCTTAATGCTTGCACCAAATTGTTCATTTGATGCATGAACTAGGATTGATTGATTTAGCTAACCGTTGATTAATAATCTGATAAGAATTGAACGAGCTTAACATCCTTAGTCAGCAAGAGTAGATACTAGGGTGTTCTGTGAACTTATCGGACCTGATATCTAAGGCTTGCTGTCGTGACTTGATCCAAACGATAGTTTAGGTATCAAGGCAGACCTGCAAAGGCAATCAACACCACGATAGTGGGTTGATTCAAGCAGAGTGATCCGAGTTTAGACTATCATAAATCGGACTTGAATAGTAGCTTGGCTTGCGAATTCCATTCCCGTTAGGAAATCCTAGACTAGCGCTTTTAAACCTATTGAAAAAAACTTCGTTTGTTACTTGCTCTTTTAAGTTATTTATTTATTTCAAAAACCCCTTTTGTTTTAGCTATATTTTGATCCCACAAAGATAAAGTGTAGACTGGTCCTCTGGAATTGAATCTAAACATATTACAACCACACTGTTAACTTGACAGTAGACAAAGATCCAATTTTAGTGTATCAATGTAGTCGTAATTAACTTCCACATTACGACCAAAATTGTGTTACGACCAATTAGGGTCCAAGCTTTACAACCAATTAGGATCGACACGTGTCCACGTTACTACTATGTTACGACCAAATTTATTTACGACCACTTAGGGTCCAGGATTTACGACTAATTAGGGACTACAGACATCCATTACGACCAATTAGGGTCCATTATTTTACATCCCAATTACGCCTAAAGCTCACTTACGAAAAAAACCAAAGTAACTGAGTTTTCACTAACTTGAAAACTCAATTACTTAACAAGCTCAGCCCGTCATGAAGAAATTACCGAGATAGCCATCGACGAAGTGGGCCATTACGGTCCCGTATAACGTAATTCTTGGAATGCCTTGGATCACATCGATGGGTGCCATCGCCTCAACCTATCATCAATGTGTGAAGTTCCTAAGACCGGATAGCCGAATGCTAACGCTCCGTGGCAACCAACCGGCAGCGAGAAACATTCTGGTCGCCACTATCAAAACCAATCGGCCATCCGTTCAGATAAACTCCATTTAATTTCTAAGCCTCTCTGAAAGCTCAGCTTGGCATGAAGAAATTACCGAGATATCCATCGATGAAGCGGGCCAAGAAAAGTGTTCCAAATCGCCGCCTATCTTACCGATCCCATGAAGGTTAGGATCATCACCTTTTTAAAGCGAACGCGTCCATTAATAAATTATTGAAACTACTATACATCTCACATTTAAAAACAATTTGTTGGTGTAAAATTTTGTTATATAAATATACAAATAATCATAAAATCATATGAGTAGAAACCTCATTTAATAAATATAAATATTAAAAGTATGCTATATATCTAGGTTAATATCATTTAAATTTAATTATATATTATTTACGATTTATAAGATTGATTGTTTTGATTTATTTACCCTAATTGCGAATAAACAAGAGTGATCGTTAGATTTATATGCACACGCCAATTTGTTACATCATAGTAACTGATTTGTTAGTTATTTAATATATATACTTATTATTTTATTATTTCATAATATGCAGAATAACATAAAATAAGTAATAAATATAAAATACTTATTGTGCAAAAATTGTAGATCTTAAGCTAAGTATGTATCTCTTTAATTATTTTAAACTTTAAGCATTATCTAAATCTTAGGCCAAAACAAACAAACGAAATGAGAATAAACTTCAAAATCAATATTTAAATCAAGTAATAACCAAAATGAAAAAAATACACAAAAAGAGAAAAATATTAAAGATAAGATTGATATGTGAACGTAAACTTCTCATAACCATAATTAATTTTTAAATTGCTAAATCATGATATAAACCGAACTGACATAGTTTCATTGTAACCAAATAGATCTGAGATTTTTTGACCTAAAACCTTTTTAAAAATAAAATGAGCTTATGAGTAAATAAATTATGTAATTAATAAAAAAATTAAAAAAAATTGATTAAACATCAAAATATTAATTCAATCAAGAATATAGATTTACTTTTTTCATGTAACATTTTGTAAATAATTTTTATATAAATTTATACTGCGCAAGACTTAGGTATTATCTTAATATATTAAGAAAGTAGCTGAGAGTGGTCAAGAAATCAGTCTACTCAAACCCTAAAACGAAACCATTCATATTAACCGTTAGATTAGTTTATACGGCCCAGCTTTTTAATCAATAACCGTTGATTAGACGTGACCCACCTTATATTTTGTACACTAGCCCGTACATGATAGCGTCCATCTAGGTAAGAGAAGGTCTTTCTCTGTCAAGTTAGAAAATCTAATCTTTGCGTCACCGTTTCAGTTCTTCTCTCTTCTCTCTAGGGTTCTTCTTCTTTTACAAGCTTTCACTAAACATGAGGTAATAGTTGGATCNTAACCGTTGATTAGACGTGACCCACCTTATATTTTGTACACTAGCCCGTACATGATAGCGTCCATCTAGGTAAGAGAAGGTCTTTCTCTGTCAAGTTAGAAAATCTAATCTTTGCGTCACCGTTTCAGTTCTTCTCTCTTCTCTCTAGGGTTCTTCTTCTTTTACAAGCTTTCACTAAACATGAGGTAATAGTTGGATCCTTTCATTGGATCTCTGCCTGTCTCTTTCATTTTGATGAATCGTCTTCTCGGATTCATTTCTGTGCTATCAGTTTCGTTCCTTGGCTCGTTTCAATTTTTTCATTTTTCCTCATGGGGGTTTCTTGTAAATTCGGTTTCTTTATAGTATCGGTGGATTCAAAGCTACGCTTTTAATGGGTTCCTGGGGAATGGGGAAAGTTAGGGTTTTTAAATCGGGTCTAGGGTTTATCGTGCTAGAGCAGTTGGATTCAGGGTTTAGGGTTTAACTTCGTGTTATATGTTGTCGTTAATGAAGTTTCTGTTTACTCTATTGAATCAAGTGACGGTTACTTACCTGTTTGGTCTCTTAGATGTGGTGTTTTCTTTTGTTATGTTTGCTATCTCGTTTGGTCTTTTTGATGAAGTTGAAGACATATTGTTATTAATGATGTTTCTCTTGTGAGTGTAGATTGAAATAACAGTTACTTCTTACCTGTTTAGTTTCTTAGGTTTGTTTATATTTTCTCTTTTGTTATGGTTCCAATGTGTTTTGTCTTGAAAGTGATTTCTTCTCGTGTGTGTTTTTACAGTCGTCATCCCGAAGTGAAGTGGGCCGAGACCACTGACAAGATTTTCCTCACCGTAGTGTTAGCAGATTCAAAGGAGACTAAAGTTAATCTTCTCCCAGAAGGAGTGTTTGATTTCTCTGCTAAAGCTGGACCTGAAAACCATGTCTATGAACTTAAACTCGAACTTCACGACAAAGTCAATGTTGAGGTGAGATTCATTTGTCTCATTTGTTGATTGTAAAGTTCTATAACCCTCCTTCCGTTTTCAGGAAAGCAAAATCAACGTTGGAGACAGAAGCATTTTCTGCATAATAGAGAAGGCAGAGCCTGAAAGGTGGGACAAGCTAATCCGTGGAGGGAAAGCGCCACACTATGTCAAGGTGGATTGGGACAAGTGGGTAGATGAGGACGATGAAGGCAACGCTGGTTAGCCCTCATCTTAAACGCTTATATATCTGTTCTTGTTTTACACTCTCTGTTCTTCATGTAAGCTTTTGGAGGTGTTAACTCATTTGTGCCTTTTCTTGTGCTTTGATTTAGGTGCCGGAGATATGGATATGGGAGGAATGGGTGGAATGGATTTCTCGGTGTGTTTCTAGCCTATAATATTGTTTATCTTAATATATTTCTAGGTTTGAGAGATGACTTCATACTCGGTTCTTGCTTATTGCTTCTTGCAGAGCTTGGGTGGAATGGGTGGTATGGGTGGTATGGGTGGAATGGGTGGTATGGGCGGTATGGGTGGAATGGCTGGACTTGAAGGTCTTGGCGGCATGGGTGGACTTGGTGGTATGGGCGGACTTGAAGGACTTGGTGGCATGGGAGGCATGGGAGGCATGGGAGGCATGGGTGGAATGGGTGGAATGGAGGAGTTTGAAGACAGTGACGATGAAGGTAAGGGTTTTTAAAGATCGTTTTAGTTTATGTTTGGTCACATCTTCTTGATGAGCTGAGAGTATTTTGTATTTGAGATGTTTAAGTAGTCTTGGAAAACATTTCCTCAGACTTTGGTGGTTCTCTGTTTCGTCATTAGTTTTATACCTAATGAGATAGTTATTCATGGAAATGCAGAAGAAACAGCACAATCTGGGGACAAGAAAGATGAAGCTGTGAAAGAGGAAGCCAAAGCAGGAGAACAAACAACATCAGCTAAGGAAGACAAGTGAAGACGCTGTTTCAGAGGGTAACCATATGGTTGTTACTATTAGCTTTCAGGGTTTATGAAACTCTTTTTTTATTTACCTCTTAGAATGTTCACTCTGGTTTGCTTTTATGGATTTGTTTTTCACTTAAGTATGCATTGTTGTGTGGTTATATGGTTGGTTCCAGATGATCTTAGACTTGCAATTTTTTTTTGCCAGTGACAGTTTCTGAGGAAGACTTTTCTATGTCTGTTGCTAAGACTATCTTTTTTACAACATTGGCTAAAGTTTTCCATTTTAAACTTTGAACTTGGAAAAATAATTGAAAAAAGTCATGTACAAGATATTACTGTTTACTTGCCTATTACGAAAAACCCAAACTGTGCCTCTTCTTGAGCTAGAGGAGTCCATGAAGTTTGCATTTGAGTAGACCTTCACGAGGTTTGAGTTGTTTGATCCATCCTGGTTTATCCTGGTCTCCTGGGGAGGTTTGAGTCGTTTGACCCATCCTGGTTTATCCTGGCCTTCTGGGGGTCTCTGACTTCGGAGGCGAAGCATCTTCATGTGTTTGAGAGATGACGGTGAAATGATCCTTCTTCTATGGACCTCAGCATCTGAATTATCTTAACAGCCTTAAAGAGTTAACTAAAAGTAAAATCAAAAACACAAAATTAAAAACAAATATAAAATTAAAAACAAAAATTGTGATTAACAAAAAATGTGATTGTTCGACGTTTCTTTTCACATGTGGGAGTCGTAGTCTCTAGATCGCAGTTTCTCCCCGTCTTCAACTTTGAGAACAACACAAGGCATCATCTCAACGGTAACACATCGGCAGCTTCTGTCTCAAAACTCTAACGAATCCCATCATCTCATCAACACCACTGCCCTCGCCCTCCTTACATCACTGATGACTATGATGCATCGCCGCAATGCTTCTCCGCCAGCAGCTCCTTGATCCTTGGATTGAAATCTCTAACAAGCTAATAGAACTTCTGTTTGTGTTATTCATCTCAAGGTCAATACATCGATATTTATACATGATATCCTCCTTAACAATAAGAGATAACTATGATATCCTACTTAACAATAGGAGATAACTATAACATCTATGTGTTTATCTAACATACATGTTCATCCTTATCTAATACTTCTTCTCAAGATGGACGTGAAGATGTCGCACACCCATCTTGTCAAGTAGATAAAGTAACTGCTGTCGTCCAAGTGACTTCGTGAGAACATCTGCTAATTGTTCCATCGTTCCAATATGATGAGTGGCATGATTCCAGCTGTAATGTAGTCTCGAACAAAGTGACAATCGACCTCCACATGCTTTGTCTTCTCATGGAAAACTAGATTATTGGCAATGTGAATGGCTGCTTTATTGTCACACTGAAAAGGGATAGGAAACCGCTGCTTGACTCCAACCGAGTCCATGACGCCAATCATCCATTTCAGCTCACTGCACGTCATTGCCATGGCCCTATATTTAGTCTCTACTGAGGACCTTGACAGTGTTGGTTGCTTCTTCGTTTTCCATTACACCAAAGAATTTCCCATCATGATAATATAGCCGGGTAGCGACTTCTGTGAGAGTGGACAAGCCGTCCAATCCGAGTCACTATAAGCAGTGAGTAAGAGATCACTCTTAAAACTCAACAAGATCCCTTGACCAGGAAGACCCTTCAGGTAACAAACAAGGCAAATCGCTGCATCCCAGTGCTTTGTCGAGGCTTTTGAAGAAACTGAGCAAGAATATGCACTGGATAGCTCAACTCTGGTCGTGTTACAGCCAAGTAAACTAACCTTCCAACAAGACATCGATACTTAGACGGCTCTGTATAGAATGGTCATTTATCTCGAGCAAGATTATGATACTGCTCCATAGGTATATCCAATGGTTTTGACCCCAAAAGTCAACATTCTGAAACAATATCACGATCATATTTTCGTTATGACAACTAGTTTCCTTCATTGTTCCTCAACACCTCAATCCCCAAGAAATATTTCAAACCACCCAGATCCTTCATGTGAAAACAGCAATTTAAATGCTCCTTACAAGTGTTGATGAGTGTTGGATTATCACCACCTATTATCAAATCATCGACATACACTAACACAAACAGTGTAGTTTTGTGACGATGTAGAGTGAACAAAGAGTAGTCAAGCCGATTTTGTTTGAATCCAAACTCACGTAAGGACTTAGATAATTTAGCAAACGAACATCTAGGAGCCTGCTTCAAGCCATATAAGGCCTTATTCAACTTGCAAACTTGATTTGGTAAAACCAGGTGGTAACTTCATGTACACTTTTTCTTCAAATTTACCATGAAGGAATGCGTTATGCACATCCATTTGGTGAAGATCTCAATTTCTAGCAGCTGCAACACCAAGTAGAACACGTACCGTATTCATTTTGACCACTGGTGCAATCGTCTCATTATAGTCTACTCCTTCTTCTTGTTTATTTCCACATGCAACCAAACGTGCTATATATCTCTCGACAGTGCCATCGGCATTGAACTTGATTTTAAATATCCACTGACATCATATAGCTTGTTTGTATGGGGGTAAAGTAGTGACTGTCCACGTACCACTTCTTTCAAGATCACCTACCTCACCAGACGCAGCATCTCTCCATCTTTTATCTTTCATAGATTCTTTAAAAGACTTTGGTTCAATATGAGATTCAACTTCCAAGAGAAATGCATGTACATGAGGAGCAAGAGGATCAAAAGAGACGTATTTATTCAAGGGATAGGTACACTTACCTGAAGACGATGTATCAGACGAGTGAGAAGCATATGGGGGTTTTTGATCGATTTGTGCAGTATACGTAACATAGGGACCCAAGAGAACATACTTCTTCTTACTCCTGTGTCCTCTTCCCAATGGTTCAGATTGTGATGGTTCTACTGTATTGTCTGCAGCATTAGTTTCTCCCCCTGTGTCGGTTTCATTACTGATTTGAGGAGTGGTAGGAATCTCTGAAGATGAACTAGGTACCTCATTAGCCGAAGGAGCAGTTTCACCAGTTGCTTCTGAATTTGAAACTCCCCATGTCTCCAATACTTCCGTGAGAGGCAATGGATCAAAATCATCATCAAATATTGCACGATGTGTTGTGTGTTGCATCGGTGCTATATCATCAATGATTGGTGTCGTTTTTGTCACCGCAAAAGGAAATATATCCTCATGAAATGCAACATCACGAGAGACAAGTATATGTTCTGTTTCAAGATCGCAAACAACCCATCCCTTCTTGCCCATGGATATCCAAGAAACACACACCGAGTGCTCCTCTCATCAAACTTGTCTCGACCATGAGATATTCTCCGTGCATAGAAAAGTGTTCCAAATACTCGTAGATGTTCATAAGATTGTGGCTGTCCATGAAGCATCTCATACGGTGTCTTGTTCTGTAAAATTCGTGATGGTGTGCGAATAATGAGATAGGTTGCTGTTAATATGCTCTCTCCCCAAAACCGTTTTGTTAATTATGCTTGAAATAAAAATGCTCTAGCAATATTGAGAATGTGTCGATGCTTTCTTTCAACTCGTCTATTTTTCTGTGGTGTTTCTACACACGACGTCTGATGCGTGATTCGTTGAGATGCAAAGTAGTCACTGAGACAAATGAACTCAGACCCATTATAACTACTCACAATCCTGACTTTCTTGTTAAACTGCCTATCAGTATAAGCACAAAACGTTTTTAAAGCTTGTGGTGCGTCTTTCTTTTCCAATAGAAATATTGTCCAGACAGTCCTGGAGAAGTCGTCCACTATAGTCAAAAAATATCATGCACCTGATGTAGATTTTTCATGGTACGGACCCCATAGGTCACAGTGAATCAAAGAAAACCAATCCTAATTAAACTTTATTAATACTAACTGGAAACACATCTCAAGTTTGTTTAGCTCGATGACAAGTACCACAAGAACTTTCTAAAACACCAATACTATTTGTAAAACTAGCAACTGAAGACAAAACCGAAAGAACAGCTGAAGATGGATGACCCATGCGTGAATGCCACAAATATCGTGTCTGGTGTGAATGCACATGATTTGCTTGAACCGACACAGTCCCCATATATCGAAAAACCCCATTATACTCTTCATACTAGAAAGGTGAACTCCGGGGTAACTGGCATACTTCTGTAAATATGCCTGATTATTACGGGACACGGCATAACTAGCACAAGAAGAGTATATTTTGGAAACTTCCATACTAGAAAGATCTAATTTTGCGACACAATCTTGATGTCATGCATATAGAGAAGAAATTCTTTGAGAACATCATCAATACGTTACTAAATGTCCCCGGAAAGACAAAAGATAACAAGAACTCAAGGTTGGATTTGCCTGCGTTATGTTGTAGGAGTCAGCTGCATATTAAAAATGATGGGAAAATTCATGTTCATATCTTTAGATTGTCAGCAGAAGCGAAGGCGGCGTTGTTCAAGTGGGTGGCATCAGATGTGAAGTTTTCTGATGGATATGTGTCAAGTCTATCAAGATGTGTTGAGCAGGGACAAAAGTTTTCTGGGATGAAGAGTCATGACTGTCATGTGTTTATGCAACGACTTTTACCATTTTCATTTGCGGAGTTGCTTCCTAAAAATGTTCACGAAGCACTTGCAGGTAATACAATTTCACCTAAATATAACATATTTATCGGAGTTAAAAATATATGTGATTAATGTAATTGTAATTATTTCTAGGTTTTGGAGCTTTTTTCAGGGATCTTACCTCACGTACCTTAACTGAAGATATCATCAAACAACTTGATGATAATATCCAGATCTTAATGTGTAATATGGAGAAAATTTTTCCTCCATCATTTTTTTGATATCATGGAATATCTAGTTCTCCATCTCCCATACGAGGCATTGCTTCGTGGACCGGTTCATAACGGATGGATGTATTCCTACGAGCGATCCATGAAACATTTAAAAGGAAAAAGAAGAAATCTTGCACGGGTAGAAGGTTCAATAGTTTCTGGGAATTTGAATGAAGAAACAT